AAGTTCAAGCTCCAAGCCTGGCACAAAAAAGAAAAATAGAGAGAGATCTCATGGTCACTTTTAGCAATGTCAGGATAATGGCAGAGTTAAGAGGAATAAGGAATCAAGATAGCACAGCCCATGCTTCAGTATTTTTATTTGGATATATTTTAAGCAAACAGTTGAACCCATCATATTACTTTCTTAAAAGCTCAACTTTCTGCTAACACTTCCACTGATTTTTAGAAAGAAAAGAAAAACTTGCTGGCTTTCTGTACCTGGCTACGTATGTCTTCCTGATTTTCTCAGCAACTCGTCCTGAGATGGTGAACATATTGGTCCATCTATCATCAACTTGATTGTGACTATATACTTAAAAAAATTTTTTTTTGGTGCCTATCCTGGGGCTTGAACTTGGGACCTGGGCATTGCCCCTGAGCTGTTTTTTAACTCAAGGGTAGTGCTCTACCACTTGAGCCACAGCTCCCATTTTTAGTTTTTCTGGTAGTTTCATTGGAGCCAAGATTTCTGGATGTTCCCACCCGGGGTTGGCTTTGAACCATAATCCTTTAGATCTCAGCCTCCTGAGTAGCTGGGATGACATGCATAAACTAGCAGCACCTGGCTGTGAATTCACACTCCTATTCTGTTAACATTTGAACCTGCAGCCAAGTAGACAAAACATGAATAACCAACAGTGCGTACTTACGTGCCAAGATGCTATCCTAGGCAGTTTACATGCATGATTTCATGAAGTGTTCCCCCGTATCTTCCCACCACCTGCTGTGTCAATGACCCACAAATCCATGGAAGGGACATGCGCAGTTGCACAATATGCTCCATTTTACATGAACTGATTGTGTGTCCTAGTCCTGAGACTTGAACTCAGAGCTTGGGTACTGTTTTTTGCTAAAGGATAGCAATCTACCACTTGACCTGTACCTCCACGGCCAACTTTTTTGGTGGTTAAAATTAATAGATGAGTCTCACAGGACTTTTCTGCCCAGTCTGGCTATGAACCTTGATCCTAAGATCTTAGCCCCTCCTGAGTAGCTGGGAGCTACTGGCACCCAGCTCATTTGTTTTATTGGGTTTGTTGGGGTTTTTATTGTTGGTCATGGGGCTTGACCTCTGGGCCTGGGTGCTGTCCTTCAGTTCTTCAGTTCAAGGCAAGCACTCTACCACTTGAGCCACAGCACCAATTCTGCTTTTCTGGGTGGTTTATTGGAGATAAGAGTCTCATGGACTTTCCTACCTGGGCTGGCTTTGAACCCTGATCCTCAGATCTCAGCCTCCTGAGTAGCTAGGATGACAGGCATGAGCCACCAGCACCCGGACTTTTTTTTAATTTATTTTTTGACACTAGGTTGTATTCTAGCCCGGGATAGTCACAAATTCACAATATTCCTGATCCCAACCTCCCAAGGGCTGGGATTACAGGCTTAACTCTCTCAGCATTACACTCTCTGAAGGACATATTTAAAAAATTACCATTTATTTGATCTGTTGAGTGCTTAGCTCCTTATCTTCTTTGTCAATACTGAAGTATACATAAAAGGGAACACTGGGGAACTAACCCAAATTTATAAGACACTAAATTGCTTGGCACAGTAGTTGTCTTAACTTCCATTCTAGCCTTTTCCACAAAACATCCACCCTTGAGCATCCAAAAAATGTCTTCTTTTTGCTTTTCTCCTACTTTCTTTTCTGTATGGCTGCAGGGACTCAACAGTCTTTTTTCAGCAAAGGTGAGGTCTGACCACACCCATCAGATGATCAAAAGGCGCTGCCAGATACCCACCCTCTTTCTAGAATGTTCCCAGGCCATGTGGCATTTCTTCAGATCCAACATGAGCTCCTCGAAGATTGGAGAGGTGAACCAGGCAGGAAGAACCCCCGGCCATTTTAGTATCCAAGATGAGACACTGTGGCTAAGAATCACAGTAATCCAGGAACTGGTGGCTCACGCCTGTCATCCTAGCTACTCAGGAAGGCTGAGGTCAGAGGATGGAGGTTTAGCCAGCCTTGGCAGGAAAGTCCATGAGACCCTTATCTCCAATAAACTACTCAGAAAAAGCCAGACAGTGGCAGTAGAGTGTTAGCCTTGAGCAAAAGAGCTCAGGGACAGTGCCCAGGCCCTGTGTTCAAACCCCATGACCAACAAAAAGAAAAGCTCCCATCCTGACAAGGCTGTTGGAAAGTCAGTTGTAGATTCCTTTGGAGAAGCAATTTAGTGCAAAAAATCTCAGCATGGCAAATGGAAAAATAAGCAGTCAGTCCTGGCTTCCCAGAATCCTTGGTGAGTCTATCGTAACAGATAATTGGAAACTCAGAGGTGACTGGCCGAGCAAGATACCAGCCTGAGAGAAGGGGCTAGAATGGATTTGGGGACAAGGGTCAGGCCAGGCTCTGCTCTGTACTGGGCAAAAGAAGACAGCATGAAAGTAGATCAGGCCAGGGGGTATTAAGGGAGGAGTGATGAAGTCAAATTCAACACTCATTTTATGTTCTGTACCTAATACCAAGTGGGCTTTTACTAAAACTGTGTTTATAACATTGCTTATAGTAAACTAATTTTTGAATCAATTAAGGGGAACAGACAGCAGTATAATCCCAAAATATTATATATATATTATATATTTTTTTTTTGGGGGGGGAGAGATGGTCCCAGGGCTTGAACTCAGGGCCTGAGCACTGTCTCTGAGCCACTTTGTGCTCAAGTCTAGCGCTCTACCACTTTGAGCCACAGCACCACTTCCGGCTTTTTCTGGGCCATTTACTGGAGATAAGGGTCTCATGGACTTTCCTGCCCAGGCTGGCTTTGAACTGTCATCCTCAGATATGAGCCTTCTGAGTAGCAAGGATTACAGGCGTGAGCCACTGGTGCTCGGCTGCATCCTAAAATATTAAGGGCTATTTCAGTAGAGGATTATTTTCGACTCCATGCTTTGTATATTTAAGAAATCTGTCTGCGGGCTGAGAATGTGGTTAGTGGTATAGTGCTTGCCTAGCAGGCATGAAGCCCTGGATTCGATTCCTTACTACATAAACAGAAAACGCCAAAAATGGTGCTGTGGCTCAAAGTGGTAGAGTGCTAGCCTTGAGCAACAGAAGCTCAAGGACAGGACCCAGGGCCTGAGTTCAAGCCCCAAGACAGGCAAAAACAAAACAAAAATAAAACAAAACAGCAACAACCAAAAAGAAATCTATCTGGAATGATTCTTTTATTAAGTGTTATTTGTATTCTATCAAAACAGTAGTAAAAACACCTATTGGGAACCAGTGGCTCACGCTTGGGAGTCTTTGCTACTCAGGAGACTGAGATGTGAGGTTCAAAGAGAGACCGGGGAAGGAAAACTCATGAAACTTTTATCTCCAATGAACCACTGAAAAACTGCAAGTGGAGCTATTGCTCCAGGTAGAACACTAGCCTTGTACAAAAACAAAACAAAACAAAACAAAGGATCACTCAGGGACAGTTACCCAGGCCCTGAGTTCAAGCCCTAGGACCCACACCAAAAACAAAGTAGGATAGGAAGGTTAGAGACACTCATTTGGTGACACAAGAGCAGAGTGAACGTTAGCAGAGCCCCAACTGACATGAGATATACAAAAAGCACATGACCGGGCTGGGAAGGGAAGGTGGCTCAGTGGTAGGGTTGGCTTGCCTTGCATGCATGAGGCCCTGGGTTCGATTCCTCAGCACCACATAAGCAAAAAGAAAAAAGCCGGAAGTGGCGCTGTGGCTCAAGTGGTAGAGCGCCAGCCTTGAGCTGAAGAGCTGAGGGACAGCGCCCAGGCCCAGAGTTCAAGCCCCACAACCGACAAAAAGAAAAAGAAACAAGAAAATCACATGACCTTCTAGCTGCTCCTTTCCATTCAATCCAGGGGCCTCTGTAATATTCCTTCCTTCGTGCTAAACAAGATCCCTCCCATTTTAGTCTGGAACTCTTTCAGCTCTTACTTTTATTAAAGCCCTTCCTGTCCAGACTCTTCTCTTTTTTTAAGGTCACTAGTGGGGCTTGAACGTGAGGCCTGGGCACTGTCCCTGAGTTCTTTTGCTCAAGGCTAGTGCACCCTGTAAGCCACAGCACCACTTGCAGTTTTCTGGTGGTTCCTTGGAGATAGGAGTCTCACAGATTTTCCTTCTTGGGCTGGCTTTGAACTTTGATCCTCAGATCTCAGCCTCCTGAGTAGCTAGAATGACAAGGGTGAGCCACGGGTGCCCAGCCTGTCCAGCCTCTTTAGAAAAGGAAATTAACAAGAAAAAAAAAAAAAAGACAACCCACCTCCCAGGGCAGCATTCGACCTCTTTAACTCTGCTCTGATTTATTCTGACAAGATCCTGTTTGTGTATCATGAAGGTTAAGACCACAAGTTTCTGTCTGTGACCATCAATGCCAAGTATCTAGGCGCACGTACCAGCTCCAGGCCCATGGGGGATGCTCACGATTTCATATTTCATAGAGCAGCGGGACAGAGGCTGGAGGTGGCGATGATGTAGAGAGCCCTGTTTCCCAGGAGATGGGAGTGCTTTCCTCCACCTGTAGCAGACATTCAAAAAGCCCCAGGTATAAAGCTAAGCCCCAGAAGCATCTGGGAAGACAAGGTTTTCTTTTGTTTGTGTTAGTTTTGTGACAGTCTTGGGGTATGAACTCAGGGCCTGGGTGCTGTTCTCTGAGCTGCTTTGGCTCAAGGCTGGTGCTCTGCCCCATGAGCCACAGCTCCACTTTCCAGCTGGTTTCAGTTTATTGGACATAAGAGTCTCATGAACTTTTCCTATCCAGGCTGGCTTCCAGTCCTGATCCTCCGATCTCAGCCTCCTGAAGTAGCTCAAGATGAACAAGGCAGGAGCTACCTGGTACCTGGCTCCTTCAGGCTTTTTTTTGTTTTTTTTTTGCCAGTCCTGGAGCTTGAACTCAGGGCCTGGGCACTGTCCCTGAGTTTCTTTTGCTCAAGGCTAGCGCTCTACCACTTGAGCCACAGTGCCACTTCCAGCTTTCTCTGATTATGTGGTACTGAGGAATCGAACCCAGGGCTTCATGCTTTGCTAGGCAAGCACTCTACCACTGAGCCACCTTTCCAGCCCATGGCTAAATCTTAAATATGGTTTTTCATATGTCGAGCCAAATTTGAGGACCACCTAAAAGTCTTTCCACACACTGCGCACTTGAAGGGCCTCTCTCGCGTGTGAAATCTCTTGTGGCTCAGGAGTAGCGAGTTCTTGCAGAAGGCCTTGCCACAGAGGTTACATTTGTGACCCTTTTTCTCAGTGGGTCTGTTTGGGAGTTCGGGGACTACAGAGTCCTGAGTGGAAGGGCCCTCAGAGCTTTCAAGAGATTTGGTTCCACCTGCTTTGAATTCCTGGACTTGAGCATCCAGGTCTGTCACAGTAGGTCGAGTGCGTTTGGTCTGTGCCACCCTGGTGTGTGCTTTCGGGTGGAGAGAGAAGGTGTGCAAGTCTCTGAACTCTTTCCCACACCACTGACTCATGAACGGCCTGTCGGTTGCGTGGATTCTCTGGTGGTTCACGAGGCGGTAATTCCGATCGTAAGACTTGCCGCACAAATTGCACTTATATCGCTTCTCCCCACTGTGGATGCCCATGTGATCTACCAGGCTTCGCTTGCGGGTAAAGGTTTTCCCGCATTCTTGACACCAAAAGTGTTTCCCATCACTGGGGCTGTCGGGCTGTGGGCTTGGGGCCTCCTTAGGGGCGCGGCGGTATTTGTAGTGGAGGCTGACTGAATGCTGCCTCTGGTGTCGGTAGAGATTGGAAGTCCATCGGAATGCCTTTCCACACTCCTTACACTGATACGGTTTCTCCCGGGTGTGAACTCGCTGGTGGATGAGAAGGAATGAATGATGACGAAAGACTTTGTCACACTGGCTACATTTGTAGGGTTTTTCCTCTGCGTTCCCACGGCTGTGTGGGGCAGCACACGCGGTCTCCTGACCCAATGATAACCTCTGACCTTCTGTTTTCCTTTGAATGGCGTGATTCTTCTTATGAACAATAAATGCAGATCGAAAGGCAAAGCCTTGGCCACATTCGTTACACTGGTAAAGCTTGTCACGGCTGTGAACTATTTGGTGCTCCAGGAGTTTTTTCTTTGGGTTAAAAGTGTTCTTGGGGGGTGGGCGATGGAACGTTTTCTCCTCCGTGGGGGGGTCCTGGCTGGCGTACTTGTGCTGACGGCCTTCTTCTTGTTCCCGGTGTTGTCTCACGTGACGATTGAAGTTGGACCTCCAGCGGAAGCTTTTCCGGCAGCTGCCACATCTGTACGGCTTCTCCTTGGTGTGGATCCGCTGGTGTTCGAGAACGTAGGATTTGCAGTGGAAGGATTTCCCACAGTGGCTGCAGTCTAAGTACTTCTCCCCATTCTGTTCCCTCACGTGATAACCCAGCCCTGCGTCTTCGTACAGCGGCGGCGGCGGTGGCGGCGTGCACATCTGTTTCGCATGGGTGTGCTGGTGCAGGCGGTAGGCGGACAACCGCTGGAAAGCTTTCTCACAGATACTGCACTTGTAAGGTTTCACACCCGTGTGGATCTTCTCGTGGCGCAGACAGTTGGAGTTCCACTTGAAGGCTTTCTCACACACCCGACACTTAAAGATTTTCTCTGGAGTCGGCAGTCTTGGGTGAAATAGGAGGTGGGGGCTGGGATGAAATGGGGTCCCACAGTCAGTGGATGTGTTCAGCATCCCGGGGTTATCAGGAGTGGGCTCCTGGGGAGGAGGGGAGGGCAGGCTGAAGCTTTTCCCACAGGTGTCCTTTTCATTCTCCTTCGTGTCGATGGGAATTCTTGGGTGCAAGCTCAGCGCTCTCTGCGCATGTCTGAGCCCCTTCCCGTATTTCTTGTAATCGTAAGGGTGTGAGTTTTTTCTGAATGGCCGGCCACGGCCATGTTTGAGAGCTCGTTTTTTTCTGGAAGTTTTCGAACAAGTACTGGGCTTTAGGTTAAAGGTATTACTTTGTTCCGATCCTTGGGACTCATCTCCAATTCCAGGACTAAAGGTAGTCTCTTCCGTCTTCACTCTCACTTGGATAGGGTTTCCACAGGGCAGGTGTACATCGTTGTTCTCCTGTTCAACAGAGTCTCTGAGTCCTGTTTCCTCCTGGATATCTGTTAGAGGATGTTCAGATGGTACATCTGATTTCATGTGTCCTAGAAAGCTCTGGATTTGGCTGGTTTGAGGCTGGAGCTCACCTCCTAATGAAAATTAAAACGAGAGAAATGTATTCACTTCCGATCTCTGGAATGGGAGAAAACGCCAAGGGGCCCTAAGAGGTCATAAACCTGGGTGGTGAGGTTCATGTCCAACCCTCAATACCTTTGTAAATGGGCTGGATAGACGGGTGCCTGTCAGCTACTCAAGAGGCTGAGATCTGAGGATCGTGGTTCAAAGTCATCAGGGGCAGGAAAGTCTGTGAGACTCCTATCTCCAATGAGCCACCAGAAAACCCAACATAGAACTGTGGCTCAATGTGGTAGAGCACTAGGCCTTGAGCAAAAAAAGTCAGGGATAGCTCCTAGGCCAGGAGTTCACACCCCACAAAGAACCACCACCACAACAAAAATAGAGAAGGGGCAGGATCTCGTGTGTTTTCCGGAACTCACCTTCAGGGCAGGCAGTATCAGTCTCTCCCTCAGGCTGAACTGTGTAGATGTTCAGACCCCATGGCTCTCTTGTCTCTAACCAGGAGATCAGAGCAGGTTTGGAAAATGAGCCCACTGCACAAAAGAGAATGAAATGGCACAGAAGAAGGGTCACATGGAACACGCAGCGTAAGTCCTGATTGAGGGGGGAAAGGCAGGAAGGCCAAGGACAAGAGATTTGGTAGGCATTTGGATTAGCCCTGAGCAGACAAGAAGAGAAGCTAAGAAAAGCCCAGGTGAGCTGGGCACCCGTGGCTCATGCCTGTCATCCTAGCAATTCAGGAGGCTGAGATCTGGAGGAATGTGGTTCAAAGCCAGCCCAGACAGGAAAGTCCCTGAGACTTTTCTCCAATGAATCCCCAGAAAACTGGAAAGTAGCGGTGTGACTCAAAGTAGTAGAGCCTTGAGCAAAAGAGCTCAGGGAAGCCGGGAGCTGGTGGCTCACACCTGTCATCCTAGCTACTCAGGAGGCTGAGATCTGAGGATCGTGGTTCAAAGCCAGCCAGGGCAGGAAAGCCCATGAGACTCTTATCTCCAATAAACCACCAGAAAACTGGAAGTGGTGCTGTGGCTCAAGGGATAGAGTGCTCGCCTTGAGCTGAAGAGCCCCACGACTGACAAAAAACAAAACAAAAACAAGGACTCTTTCCACATGAGGGAAGCAAAACTCTCAGTAGTTCAATTGGCCCGAAACCATCTGCAAATGTGAAGACAGTGAGTGAGAGTAAATGACCTAACAGTAGTTGCAGAGTCGGGATCTAAAATCAGGATCAGATCCTTTGGTACACATCCCATAAAAACTACTAAGACGCTGGGCACACATGTGGCTCACATCTGTCATCCTAGCTACTCAGGAGGCTGAGATCTGAGGATCATGGTCTGAAGCCAGCCTGGGCAGAAAAACCTGTGAGACTCTTATCTCCAATGAGGCACCAAAAAGCTAGAAGTAGAGCTGTGGCTCAAGTAGTAGAGCACTAGCCTGGAGCATAAAAGCTCAGGGACAGCGCCCAGGCCCCAAGGGTCAAACCCCAGGACTAGCACCAAAACAAAAACAAAACAGCAAGTAAGCAGAAGTAAAAGTATAGATAGGAACCTAGGGAATGTTGAAGACCTACCCAGAGAGGCCAGGGTCCCATAATTCTCCAGCATCACATCCTGGTAGAGGTTTCTCTGAGCAGAGTTCAGGCATCCCCATTCATCCTGGGAGAAAATCACCTCCACGTCCTTGAAGGTCAACGCCTCCTGCAAATACACTGGGCCTGAAGGCTGGCCCGCAGCGCCCAGCCTTCAGAAAGGCAAGTGTGGCTGCGCTGACACTGAGTGAACACTGAGGTGGGTCTGACAATGGGGGAAGACGTCAATCCCTGCGGACTCGAGGCTTGTAATGTAGTCTCAGGGTCATAGGTTTAAACCCCAGACAAAGGAGCGGCACTGCTCTCTTGGGTAGCAGGGACATTGGCTTACATGAGGGGGGAGGGCTGGGCTGTCAGGGACCTGGTAGGGTTACCTGGTCTCCTGGGCTTTCCTCTTTCTGGGAAGGGTCAGACACCTGGACACTAGGAGTATCTGAAGGAGAAGAAAGCACCATGAGAGAGATGACCCTGTGCACTGACACCACCACTGAAAACCCCCACTTTTCCCCGTTTCTAGATCCCCGGACAGCAGAGACTGCTGAGAAACACCCATTGGACAGACCCTCAAAGTGTGCGCTGGGGCGCTAAAGGAGGGAGGCTGGAGGTACAATAGCAGGAAGAGCTAGACAGGCCTGGGTCAGAAGGAGGTGGGGTAATCTCAGCTACTCAGGAGGTTGAGATCTGAGGATCACAGTTCAGACCCAGGCCAGGCAGCAAAGACCATGAGACTCCAAAGAACCAGAAGTGGCGCTGTGGCTCAAGTGGTAGGGCACTAGCCTTGAGCAGAAGAGCTCAGGGAGAGAGACCAGGCCCTGAGTTCAAGCCTCATGACCATCACCACCATCAACCACAAAAGGAGGTAGAGACACACAGAGCTAAGGCATAGAGGATAACAAGATGACAGCACAGGAAATGTAACAAGGCTGGGCTCGGAGAGCCACACGGTCAATACCAGATTGCCTAGACAGGAAGTCATGTACTCCTATTTCACTGGGAGGCTCCAAGTGATCCCAAGGAGCGGAGCTATTGCCGAGAGATGAAGCTTCGGGCTGTATCTGTGGAGATTGCAGGGCTCCGGTGCCCAACCAATGCACAGCTTGGCTGACAGGGCTAGGATCCTGGCACAAAAAAAAAAAAAAAAAAAGGTGTGAGAGGATCCCTGGGGGAATCAGAAACCCAGAAGCCACCTGGCCAATCTCTGAAGACAAGGAATTCACCTGCAAGCCCCACTACCACCCTTTTGGGGTGTTTTTTTTTTTTGGTGCTGATTCACAGGCTTCCCTGCCTGGGCTGGCTTTGAACCGTGATACTCAGATCTCAGCCTCCTGAGTGGCTGACAGGCTTGAGCCTCCAATGCCTGGCTTGCAAGTCCCTCCTGCCCTTTTCTTTAACCTCCAGGAAGAGGGAAAAGAGCAGAAAGCCCACAGAGGTCTGTCCCACTATCAGCTTTCCTGGTTTTGATGAAGGCTGGAGGAGTTCAGATGGAACAGATTCCTGCTCAATCTAAAGAAGTACTTGGCAAATGAATAGTAGCATGTCTTTAGTCCTCAGACGTCAGAGAAACAGCTGCGCAGTAGCTCCCTCCCCTAGCCCTGGCCAGGAAATGAGACATGAAAGAGAAGGAATTAGTCCCTGACAGTTAAGCGATAACAGCTCACAGCAGAGACACAGCCAAGTAAAGAGTACTTTCCAGCATTTCCGTATGCTCTGATATGCAAAGTGACCTCAAAGAAGGAAAGCTTAAAAGTAGGGCCAAGCCGGGCACTGGTTCTCATGCCTGTCATCCTACCTACTAAGGAGGCCAAGATCTGAGGACCACGGTTCAAAGCTAACCTGGGCAGGAAAGTCTGTGGGACAGGTATCTCTAATGAACCACCAGAAGACAGGAAGTGAAGCTGTGGCTCAAAGTGGTAAAGTGCCTGTGAGCAGAAAAAGCTCAGGGACAGCACGTAGGCCCAGAGTTCAAATCCCACAGCTGGCACCAAAAAAAAAAAAAAAGATGGCTCAAGCCTGTAATCCTAGCTACTCAGGGGGCTGAGATCTGAGGATCACAGTTCAAAGCCAGGCCATGCAATCCTAGCTACTCAGGAGACTGAGATCTGAGGATCGCGGTTCAAAGCCAGCCCGGGCAGGAGAGACCGTGAGACTCCTATCTCCAATAAACCACCAGAAAACCGGAAGTGGCGCTGTAGCTCAAGTGGTAGAGCGCTCGCCTTGAGCTGAAGAGCTGAGGGACAGTGCCTAGGCCCAGAGTTCAAGCCCCACAGCCGACAAAAAAAAAAGAAAAGAAAAACAAAGCCAGCCCATGCAGGAAAGTCTGTGAGACTCCTATCTCCAATAAACCACCAGAAAACTGAAAGTGGCGTTATGGCTCAAGTGGTAGAGCACTTGCCTTGAGTTGAAGAGCTGAGGGACAGCGAGTCCAGGCCCTGAGTTCAAGCCCCATGATCAACAAAAAGCGAAAATAAAACTGTGAGAACCAACTGTGAGTCCCAGTACCAGCACCAAAAAAAAAAAAAAAGAATGAGAAGTGGGAGGGGAGGAGATGCCCCTTCAGGCTGACCACTCAGAGGACTGTGCCAACCCTGAATACACAGGCACAGGACTCACATGGCACCACGTACCATCTGGGATGTCCCATCAAAGTCTCGCGGTAACTCCTCCAGCAGAGCTACCGCTTCCTGGCCGCTCACGGGGCTGTGGAGCTGCACCCAGGCCCGGAGTTCTCCGGGCAGGATGCTCAGGAACTGCTCCAATACCAGCAGCTCCAGCATCTGTGCCTTGGACAGAACATCAGGCCGCATCCACCAGCGGCAGAGCTCTCGGAGGCGGCTCAGCGTTTCCAGGGGCCCAGAAGATTCGTGGTAGCGCAGCTGGCGGAACAGCTGGCGGAACAGCTCCTGGCCAGCATGGTTGAGTGTCTGTGGCCTGGCGGTCTCCCCCAAAGTATAGCCTTCATCTTCTTCTTCCTCCTTCTTTATCTTCGAGAGGCGCCCCCGTCCCCTTGGTGCCTGGGCCCGCACTGGATGAACAAAGTTCCACCTGCCTGGAGGCATTGTTCAAGTTCAAGGTCCATGCAGCTGGGAGCAGAGCAAGTCTGCAAGCTTTGCTGTGGGACTTCTGAGTCTTTGGGGACAGGAGACCATTTGCTGGGATAGCCAAGGTGCTGGACATGAGACTTAAATAATTAACATCCTGTTTGGGTGGGGACAAGTAAGAAAAAGTCAGCCCTCACATACAGGCAGTTCCATGCTGTCTGCAAGGGATCATCGCCACATAAGAAGAAATCACATGTGTCCAACATCTGCACAAACATATCTGCCAATACAGAGCAGACCAGGGATACACTGGGACCTACTAAGGTAAACTATGGAAATAGCCCAGAGTACAATCTAAATGGGTATGAAGAAAAAAGACAAAAGGCACTCATATCTGTCATCCCAGCTACTCAGGAGGCCGAGATCTGAGGATCATGGTTCAAAGCCAGCCCGGGCAGGAAAGCCTGTGAGACTCTTCTCTCCAAGGACCCACCAGAAAACTGGGGGTGCTGTGGCTCAAGTGGTAGAGTGCTAGCCTTGAGCTGAAGAGCTCAGGGACAGTGCCCAGGCCCAGAGATCAAACCCCATGACTGACAGGGAAAAAAAAAAAAAGAATTTAACGTACATTTATTGAGCACCCATTGCGTCCCAAGTACTAAGGTCACAGTGCTGAATAAAGCCCCAAAAAGCTTACAGAGATAGATATTTCACATATAAAGTATGCTTGATACTAGGTGCAGGGTAGTAAAAATAAACCAAGGGAAAGCTGGGTGCCAGTGGCTCACGCCTGTCATCCTAGCTACTCAGGAAGCTGAAATCTGAGGATTGCGGTTCAAAGCCAGCCAGGGCAGGAAAGTCCACAAGACTCTTATCTCCAATTAACCAGCAGAAAATCAGAAGTGGCGCTGTGGCTCAAGTGGTAGAACGCTCACTGAGCTGAAGAGCTCAAGGACAGCGACCAGGCCCAGAGTTCAAACCCCATGACTGACCAAAAAAAAAAAAAAAGTTGTAAGAACTAGAAAATAGGGTTAGAGGTGTGGCTCACTTGGTAGAGCACTAGCCAATGAGCAAAAGTGTTCAAGTCCCCTTCTCAGAACTTAAAAAATTAAAGGGAGCTGGGAGCCAGAGGCTAACATCTGTAATACTAGCTACTCAGGAGGCTGCGATCTGAGGATCGCAGTTCCAAGCCAGATGGGAAAACAGTCCCTGTTAAGACTTTTTTTTTTTGGCCAATCCTGGGGCTTGAACTCTGGGCCTGGGTGCTGTCCCTGAGCCTCTCTGTGCTTAAGGCTAGCGCTCTACCACTTGAGCCAGAGCACCACTTCATCTCTTTCTGCTTATCTGGTACTGAGGAATGGAACCCAGGGCTTCATGCATGCCAGGCAAGCACTCTACCACTAAGCCACCGTCCCAGCCATATTTTTATATTTTGATGATTCTGTCCTTTTTTCCTTATGGTGTATTCATGCGTCTATCTTTGGGGGTAGGGTGGAGGGCAAAGCACTCGAGGGAAAAAGGGTGAAAAAGTACAGGAGTAGAGCCACTGGACACTAGTGAAAGTAAACTCTACAACTCATGGGTGGAGACAGGAGGGAGGGATTGGGTGGGAATGAAGGAACAGACACTGTACCAAAGGAAATGTATTCATTAAATGATTAGCATCATTGTGAACCCTCTGTACATGACCTCTATAAGAACAATATAATTGTTTTCAGTCATGGGGCTTGAACTCAGAGCCTGGGCACTGCTCCTGAGTGCTGTGGTCCAGCCATAGCACAAGCAGGGCTCCAAAGGGCAGGTGGATGAAGGAGGAGACGGAGAGAAAGCTGATGGTACAACTCAGTTTATTCCAGCAAAAGCCTTAGCTATATACGCTTGCTATATTTGTCAAATGCTTGCATAATATTGTTCTAAGGCCCACAGGACCGAAAAGTGCAGACCCCATGCGTCCTTCGTCATTCTCTTTCAATCAGTCTTTGTCTACCATCCTCGCTTCAGTTAGAGGACATAAGCCTCCCCCCTCCCCCAGAAGCTAAAAGGAACACTTCCTCAAATCAAAAAGGGACAGGTATTTGTAGCCTTGAGGGTTGGAGTCAATGACTATGGAGGCTTTGTTCACCTCTTGCCAGCTCCTGGTACCCCAGGGTCTGCAGCATCTGAGCTGCTTGTGCTCAAGGCTACCCCTCTACCACTTGAGCCACAGCCCCACTTCCAGCCTTTTCTGTGTATGTGGTGCTGAGGAATGGAACCCAGGGCTTCATGCATGCTAGGCAAGCGTTCTACCACTGAGCCACCTTCCCAGCCTTCATTCTGGATTTTGAGTGGTTATCTGGAGATCAGAGTCTCCTGGGAACTTTTCTGCCCTGGGGTAGCTTCAGACCATAATCCTCAGATCTCAGCCTCCCGAGTAGCTAGGATGACAGGTGTGAGCCACGGGTGAAAGAGATTTTCTTAAAATATCACTGTATTGTTATTATGAAAGTGTTTTACAGAGGGGTTACCGTTTCATAGGTCAGCTTTTTGAACAGTATCACCCCTTCCTTCATTCCTCCTGTCTCTGCCAATAAGATTTTTTTTTTCTTTTTGAGCCAAGTTTGTCACCCTGCAGCATTAAGAAAGCATACATACCGGGCACTAGTGCCTCACACCTGTGATCCTAGCTGCTCAGGAGGCTGAGATCTGAGAATCAGGGTTTGAAGTCAACCCAGGAAGGAAAGGCCACGAGACTCTCAGCTCCAATGAACCACCTGAAAACTGGAAATGGTGCTGTGGTTCAATGTGGTGGAGTGCTAGCCTTGAGCAAAAGAACTCAGGGACAGTACCCAGGTCCTGAGTTCAAGCCCCATGACCCATACACTTACACACACACACACACACAC